AACATAATAAAAGCAATATACAGCAAGCCAACAGCCAAAACCAAATTAAATGGAGAGAAACTCAACGCAATTCCTCTAAAATCGGGTACAAGACAAGGCTGTCCACTCTCTACATACCTCTTCAATATTGTCCTTGAAGTTCTAGCTAGAGCAATAAGACAACAAAAGGAGATCAAGGGGATACAAATCGGAAAGGAAGAAGTCAAACTTTCACTATTTACAGATGATAGGATAGTTTACATGAGTGACCCGAAAAACTCTATTAGGGATCTCCTACAGCTGAGGAACACCTTCAGCAAAGTGGCAGGATACAAGATTAACTCAAAAAAAATCAGTAGCCCTACTGTATATAGATGATAAACGAGCTGAGAAAGAAATCAGAGAAACATCACCCTTTACAATTGCCACAAACAACATAAAATACCTTGGGTTAAGGCTAACCAAACAAGGGAAAGACCTGTATCACAAGAACTTTGAGTTTTTAAAGAAAGAAATTAAAGAAGATACCAGAAAATGATAGGATCTCCCATGTTCTTGGATAGGTAGGATCAACGTAGTAATAATGGCAATCTTGCCAAAAGCAATCTACAGATTCAATGCAATCCCCATCAAAATCCCAGCACATTTTTTCACAGAACTTGGAAAAACAATTCTCCACTTTATATGGAAATACAAGACCCAGGATAGCCAAAACAACCCTGTACAATACAGCAACTTCTGGAGACATCACTATCCCTGACTTCAAGCTCTATTATAGAGCTATAGTCCTAAAAACAGCTTAGTACTGACAGAAAAATAGACAGGTAGACCAATGGAATTGAATTGATAACCCTGATATTTACCCAAACACCTATGAACACCTGATTTTTCACAAAGAAGCTAAAGTTATACAATGGAAAAAAGAAAGCATCTTCAAAAATGGTGCTGATATAACTGGACACTGGCATGTAGAAGACTGCAGATAGATCCATGTATAAAACTTAAGTCCAAATGGATCAAAGACCAGCCACACTGAATCTCTTAGAAGAGAAGGTAGGTGATACCTTGAATGAATTGGTACTGGAGACCACTTCCTAAACATAACTCCAGTAGCACAGACACTGAGATCAACAATTAATAAATGGAACCTCCTGA